CATCACATAAAATGTTTCTTCCCTCCAAAAAACTTTATAAAAATTATATCATAATATTGTATGTGTTCTCTACAAGCTAGATAAGGAATTTGTCATTGTTTTCATTCATTAACTTAATTATGACATCCAAGAGAGTTGGAAAATGGACGAGATCTTAAGGAATGACAATCCAACCAGAATTCAGAATTATTTTACCCAATGGAGATATACTTATTCCATGCCTGCTTTGTGTCAGGCACTGTAGTAGGCACTGGGATAGCTAACTCTCAGCCTGCTGACTTCCGCCCAAGTCTACTTCAGGAGGAATAAGTATATTCTATTGGAAATTCAGCGTGGCAAGTACAACCTCCCTGAATCAATTATAATGTCTTACATTTTAAAGAAAATATGGAGATAGTGTGGCATGGGTTGATAACATTTTCTGAAAGCCAATGAACTCAATTAGAATCTTGCCTTTGGCACTTACTAAATGACCTCAATCGTTTTATTTATCTATAAAGCTGAAATTCTCTCTTTTTTATGTATTCAGTATAGGTTCTACAGGGTCTCAATACACAGATCAGATTCATAGTGATCCTCCTGTTTTCAGCCTCCCAAACCTTGGGATTATAGGCACGAGTCATCATGTCCAGGCTCAGTGGCCATCTCAGGGCGCCCCAGGGGTAGGGTGGGCGCTGCACACCCAGGGATTGACCCCTGGCCCCTGAGCTTGCTTAAGCAGATACTTTAGTCCACTGAGCTGTCTGGTCAGCCCATGAAATTATTCTTGAGCGATTCTGAGAGACTACACACTTTTAGAGGAAGACCTTTGAGTTACAGATAGTTTTTACATTCAAAAGAATTATGAAAACAAATAAGAGTGACAAAAAATGTCAAACAAAACAAAACAAGTAAAAAAAAAAAAGAAATAAAAAAACTCCTGGTAAATGGGAGAGTAGCTATTTGTGGTCCTAGAGCCCAAAACATTTACATCCAGCCCTCGTAGGAAAAGTCTACTGATGCTAGAAAAAGTTTGGTATCTCTTCAGTTCTATTGTCAGAGCACTTGTGTGTGAATCTTTGTTGCCTCTTACTAGTTGTGTGATCTTGAGCAAGTTATCTAGCTTCTATATACAATTTTCTTTGTATATTTAGTATAGACAATAATAGTACTTATTTCATATAATTACAGTTTGCATACGTTAATATGTATAAAATGCTGGGAGGGGTAATATTGGAGCAGTATTAGCTGTCCTTATCAGTATCATCATTTGATGTTCATCAACTCTTCAGAAGGTATTTGTATTAAATGAGGTGGTGCACATCAGACACTTAGGACAGTGTCCTGGTCGTGGCCAGCACTCAACCACTGGCAGCTATCACTGTTGTTATCATTACCATCATCATCGCCATCGCTAGAATTTCTTAAGCCCTCCTGCACACATCTTCTCATTAGAGCTTGATATCACCTCCCTTTGAAGAATGAGAAAAGGAAGCTCATGAAAGGAAAGAGCCACTGAGCCACAAGAGACAGAATGTGGAATGGAGATGGAGATTTTTGCATTCTCTACCAGTGAGTCCTCTTTCCACACCGCATTGCTTTTCCATCAAAAAAGGGAGGATCTGTTATTTGTCAGTTTTCTCCAAGTGATATAGTGCGAGTCCTGAGGGTCTGAGTATGCAGACAAACATGACTGTTCCTCTCTGGCAGGGCTCTGCAGACAGGAAGCTGGGATAATTGGATTCCAGCCATTTGGTTTTAGGACTGCATTTGTAACCAGCCAACTGCTGATGACCCAGCCTTGTGGAAAAAAGACCTGACCAAACAAACAGCTCCCACCAGCACCCTGCAGGAGCTCATTGTTTATGTTGCAGCAGGAGATTCATCAAAAGCAGCCACCAGCCTTCCAATGGTCTCTCCGCTCAGCAGAGCTGGCTGCAAAACCTGCCAGAGTTCAGCCTGCCACTAGGGACAAGCAGAGGTACCCGGAGTAAGGGAGTGTTTGGGTGAAGAGCCTCGATATAGTTGATGGCCGAGCTGGTGTGCTCAGATCAGAACTCTTGGGGATTATTTGAGCCAAAGACAGTATCAAGTGTCCTTTGAGCAAAGAGCACTCAGAGAGATGTTCATAGAAAGTTCATAAGAGCACAGTGGTATAGCATTGAAATCGGCTGATGACCAAAAAGGGGTAACATCTCAGTTAATTTATAAAAGAGGCATTATTAATATCTACATATTACCATGCCATTTCACTTAAACCAGCTTGAGCTCATTTGGGGTGGGGGCTCATGGCTGTGAAACTCTATTGCTAGACAGTATATCTTTTTGTGTTTTATGATTAAGTTGCTGCAAAAATAATGAAAATCACTCCTAAGGAACTTCAGCACTGGCCTTGACATATGGGGCAACATAAACTAAGTGCACTTTGTGGAAGGAGTTCCTGTGCTAGCACAAGCAAATAGCGTCTGCCTCTAATGGTGACAATAAATTCTGTTTAGAAGTGGCTCTGAGACTCACTCTCCAGGTGTTGTCTGGGAGACAGAGTTCTCAGTTTAAGAGGATGCAGTGATCTCACATCACCACAGCAGAGACCCCTAGAGGGTGACCAGGTGTGTTTCTCTCTTTTGGGTTATGGCAAACAAATTTAGGTTCCCTCAGCATTTGTGTAGAAGGCCCTTTGAAGTAGCAAAGAGTCCATCTCAGGATTAATAGGATAGAATTAAAAAGAAAAGTCAGAGTTGTTAAAATGTCAAAGCAGGTCCAGGAGCTACCTCAGCATTTGGAGCAAGGCCTTGAGTTTCAAATATTAGGATCCCTGCTCTTGCTTGGCCTCCTCCCTCTATCTGTATTGGAACCCTCATCCTTTTGGCTCTGAGTTTTTCTAACACCTGCTGTCAGGCAGTTAGCTGACCACCAGGCAATTCTGTACCATGTCACATCACCATCCAAACAGTCAAGCCAGCTGCCATTTACACCCCTCCCAAAGTCTGGCTCAGCTGTATCATGGGCTGAGAGGCTAGGATCCAGCCTGTGACAAACATGTCTGAATTTAGGAAAGGTAACGCTGACTGGTTAGTATGGGATAGTGTAGTCATGTAAACCTTTTCTATATTGACAGGGTAGGGGAGGAGCCAGGACCTTCTATTTACCATAAAAACACCAACCTCATGGCTTGTGGGGAGAAAAAGTAAAATAATGGTTCCACTGACTTTGTAAAATCAAGCTTTGCAGTACAGGCTTAGTGGCAATCTGTATACGTGAAGACATAGATTCATCTTGCTTGGTTTTGTGTGCTCAGTCTAGGCAGTGAACAAGCAAACAGCCAAAGATCTTGGAAACTTTATTGTTGACTCAAGGAAATTGATATTGGGCATGGGTAGGAGTACTATACAATTGTACAGTTTCTGGGTATCAAATTTTTATATTACAGCAATGCTTAAACTTCATCTTACCATCTATTTAAGATGTGACACTGTAAGGACACCTCCCAGTTTTAAAGGCATTGGGAAAATATGTTTAGCAGCATTATATGTACTTCCAAAATTTTGACAAAGAAACTTCTTTGCCAGAATTTATTCCATACTGAAAAGTTTAGTCATTTGATTCTTACAAGGTTATACCCAAGGAAAACAATATCACTAAATTTAAAAGGAAATATATTAATAGCATATAAGCATTAATAAAATTTAAATTATTAGTAAACTCCAATAAAGCAACATATAGTTGCCAAGTACTAGTGGTTTGTCATAACTGATGATAATATTATCCTATGCATAATCCCGGTCCCATGCAAATACTCGACACACTTAGTTGTAGACAATCTGCAACAATGCTGCAATTGCAGCAAACTTTTGTTCACTAAAATTCAAATGTCCTAATATGCATGTGGGTCCTTATTCCCTTGAAATCTGATTCCCAGAAAAGCATTTTATGAAAACACATATTCAGATAGTTACATCCCTAATCAATTATCAAGAATGGTTCAAAGTTTCTGAATTTCTCCAATTTTCACTTGGATCGCTAAAACTGGAAGTTTTAGAAAAATAGTATTCAGATGGCAACCCTTAGACAGTTTTGTTAGTTAAAGACATCAAGGGTACGGTAAGGCATGATGAAAGACCAAAGGGTGAAAATAAAGAGTCTAGATCACTGTGTAAGCAGGTGAGAGTGTGGATAAATGATCCCGGTTGATATTCGCAAGCATGGTGCACGCGTGAAGGCTGCTCCTTACGTCATTTGCTATTCGGCGTAACTCACAACGGGAAGGGCTGTGATTTTGTCTGTGTCATAGGCAAGGACACTCAGGAGTACTAAGTCTGAGGTTATAGGGCCACTAAGGAGCGAGAGGAACTCAGATTAGAACTCTGCCTGCTTGACTCTCAACCAGCATTGCTCAGCCAGTGGCCAGGGAGACGCCTAAGGGTGCTAGCTGCACCAGTCGTGGTTCCTTTCCCCAAGGAACTTGTAATTTACCTGGCAACTGCTATTTAAATGTTCATATGGTTATTGTACAAGGCACAACAAAGGCCACCACAGGGCAATTCATATTGTCAAATGGATGATGGAAGCAGAAACTGCTATGTTGACTCAGGAGAGACCAGGAAAATCATTCTGAGGTGGTCAGAAATGAGTGTATGCAGGAAATATCATTATATCCAACTGTATTTTTAAAGGTTCTTCAACGTGGACATATCACAGGGGGTTAAGGAATAAAGAGGGAAGTGGGGCCAGTCTCATTACTTAGTGAAATGAAGTGGTAACCTGCCCTGCATGTGTTCCAAGTTGCTACAAGACTCATAGAAGATATTAGCTACAAAACAGGCTTTTAAACATAAATTTAGGATAACCATGTCATGCAATAACTGCCCTCCTTCTTTATGCTTCCATAAGAATATTTTAAGAATACTGGAATACTCACGTAAGCCTGGGTCACCTAATAACATCAGTGTTTTCTTTCTTTTTCCCCCCAACTTTTGCTTGGCTCTTCCTCATCTGTGGCTGTTTTCTGTTTCAACTAAAAGTGGCTGTTCCTCTATCTCCAGCTTCCTCCTGCTCTTCTGCAGTAGACCGGTTCCTGTCTAACCCTGAACGTGCTCTGTAAGTCTGTCCCTGTGTGTGTTGTGTTCTGTCCATGTCTATTCATTCACTTTTTTTCACTCAAAATGTCTATAGCTTGTGTCCACTCTTCTGTCCTCACTGAATACAACTGGGGATGGACAGGGAAACATAACACATGCTGGCAGGTCTGCTAAGCCTAAGGTTCTTTCTGGACCTTAATCTGTTATTGACCTGAAGCCAAACATTCATGTAGTTTGGGAGGTTTATTTTATGGTACATTTCTCCATTTCTCAATGGTGTTTTTGGCTTCTTCTCTGGTCTAAAAGTCCTCCCTGCACAAGTCTCAAGGAACATGAGTGCTGTGGCAGGGTTGAGCCCACCCAGTGTAACTGTGGCTGTCAGAGGCGCTGGATTATCTCCCATGCACCTATTCATTTCTTGTATCCTTGGCTATGAGTGGTGGATTCCCACATATTTCTTAAACAAATGATTATCGCTAACTCAAGAACATTTTTAAAGAAATAATTGGATTTTTTAGAGCAGTTATAGGGTTGAAAAAAGAATTGAAAAGGGGATACAAAGATTTCTCATATACTTTCTGCCTACAGTGTACATAGATTTCTCTATTTTCAACATCTTCCACCAGAGTGGTACATTTATTTTGACTGGTGATGTAACTTTGACACATTTTTGTCACCCATATGTTGACACATTATGTCCCCCGTATGTATAGAAAAATGTTTGAGGACATAAGTCTACCACTGTAGTATTTTATAAAATCATTTCATTTTTTCCCCCAAGAATTAGGATTTCAGAGTGAAGCAAAGTCTTTACTTTTAAGACAAGATTTTGGAGCAGTCTTTTTGGGAGGAATCTGTCAGCCCATGTGACAGATCTGAAGAAAATGGAATTCCACTTACTACCAAGCAGTGACCTAACTAGATTACCCAGCAGGGAAGCTCCCAGCTGACAAATCAATAATGCCTTGCAAAATGAGCATTTTTCAGGGAGATATTTGAGGGAAAAAAAATGTCTAATACGAAAGACAGAAACAAAACTAATAGGTGAAATTACCTTAGATACCGTGTGGGGAGATAAAATCCTCATAAGTAAAAATAGCAATAAAAATATCATTAATATCCTGGAGAACTAGAACCAATATCATTGCGAATGGGAACCATGGATGGTATGAGAAGCTGAAAGCTGTTGTTTGTGTCTCCTTAGAAATTCCTCTCAACTTGGAAGCTGTTGTGGTGGTGTTAAGAAGTATGGCCTTTAGGGGCTGATCAATCCACGAAGGCTCTGTTTTCATAAATGAATCCACTAATATTTAATAAAATAGCTTGTGGTTTTAACAAAAAAACAAGTGAGGTTAGAGAAGGAGCACTTTGTGCTATTGTCTGATCATCAGATATTTCCATACATTCTGTGGTAAGCATGGGAAGACCTGTTGCCCCAATCCCCGAACCACTCAGATTATCCATTTTCTAGTAATCAAGATAAAACCAGTGTGAGAAATGAACAATGGGGAACCTGGGAGAGATTAGAAACCCTGGCCTCTGAAGAGTGCTAAGGCACTGAAGGCAATTTTCCTGAGGAAGAGGAGGATCAGCGTGCGATGCCACCATTAGTAGCCTGAGAATTCACTAGTCCACAGGCTAGAACAGACTCAACCTGGACACTTCAGCCAGCCCCAGTCTGCAATCAGCAATGGTATCTTACCCATCACCCTTGTACATGATCCTGCTCTCTCCTCTAGCTTTGCTGCTTCTTTTGCTCCTCACCTTAGCTTCCCCACAGTGTGGTCTGTGTCTTGATTGCCTGTCATTCCGCTTCCCCCAGGGCAACCTCTGTTTATTTTATTCTCTATCACCTAAGCAGTGGTCCAGCTGCTACCATCCACCTAAGCAGCAGCCTAGCTGCCACCTTCCAAGACCCTCAGTTATGCTGCTGTGCCTCCCCTGAGCCCCATCTCTCAGCACTCGAGGAGCACATGTAGGATGCCCTCTTCCTCAGATAAAACAGCCACTCCATGCTTTTACCTGCCTGTGCCCTTGTACAGTCCTGCCGGTGCCTGGAGTGCACTCACTCCACTGCCCTTGCATCCAAGGCACCATTAGGTTTTGTCAGCTCTACCTTCAGGTAACATCCTGAAGTAGCTGACTTCCCACCAGCTGCACCATTACCACTGTATATATCTGAGCTACAAACATCTGTGAACACCCCCAGAATCATCTTTGGTCTGCAAAATGATAGCCACCCAGGGAGCTCTACCTTCTAATCCCCAATATCTGTGGAAAAGGTGACCTTGTATGACCAAAGGGTCTGCAGATATGACTAACTACACATCTTGAGACAGGAAGGTTCTCCTGTATTATATGGGTGGGCCCACTGTGATCACAAGCTTCTGGAAAGTTGGAGGTAGTGACAACCAGAGTCAGAGAGACTGTGAAGATTGGGGCACAGAGTGGAGCTGCAGGGCCAAAGAATGTGGGCAGCTCCAGAAGCTGGGAAAGGCGAGAAGTGAATTCTCCCTTTTATAGCCCCCCAAAGAAGACCAATCCCTTCATTTTAGCCATAGAAGACCCAGTTTAAAGTTATAAATGCAAGAGCTGAAGACAATGCATGGTGCTGCTTCAAACCACTAAGTTTGCGATAATTTGTTACCAGCCACAGAAAACTAATACACTGAATTGGCCTTGGACATCAAATCCAAATTTTTCTAGTCCTACTGACAAATGTTCTACAATCTGAGGTACAGGATCTCAAGATAAATCCTGAGGGAATTTCACTGACCTTCTCAGACCAAAAAGCTACAACTCTTGTTGCACAGGTCCTGCTTTACCTTGGTCTTAACCATCCAGTAGAAAAGTATGAAGACGAAATATAGGAAGTAAAGCCATGCTGTTATGTTGAGCTGTGGGGGACTCAGGTCAATAATTTCTGACATTGCCAGTTAAACAGAAGACCCAATGCTATTATGGGCTACTGGACTCTTTTAGAATATTTTGCTGAGTTTACACACCTATAATATTCAATAACGGAACTCAGAAAAAATGGGGTATACAGATGAATGTCCATTTTGTATCTGTGTATTCAAAGTGGTTAGGATAGATACATAGTTGCATTCTCTTAATGAATAGAATGATTTGTTCTAATGGTGTTTGTAAATAGGATCTCAAGTGCACATCTTGTACAGCAATTAACCACTAAGAAGTATATATGCAGTGTGTTATTTGTTGAATCTGTACTTCCGATTTGATTTGAAACTGTCTCATTGCTATCTGTTTATCAATAAAATTTTGAAACAAAAACAAAAACAAAAACAAAAACAAATTGTTCTAGTCCCGTCTACGCGCAACAGCCAAATGATCCTACAAAACATAAGGCCTTTCTGAATTTACCCTGCTTGCAACGTTAGCTGCCTTCCTACTGCTCTTAGGGTGTGGGCAGCAGCTGCTAGTAGGTGGGCCTGTTCTGACCCTGCATCTCATCTTAGGCCGATGCCCACCTTGTCCTGCCTCTCCCCAACCATGCTCCTTGAGCTTGCGGTTCCTTTTGTCTTCATTGCCTCCACCCATCTTTCAGGTCTCATCTCTTGTCACCTTCTCAGTCACACTACCGTGATACTCACCCAGGTCACATCCTCCTAAGATGTTCTCATAATGCCAGAAAATACTTCTGACTCCTAGAGCTTCTTGTACCTGTAATTTTACACTAGACTGTGGATCTCTCACTACACTGTGAGCTCTGTGGGACAGTGACTGTGTCAATAATTTTCCATGATCCTCACTCCAAGGCACAGCACGGTGCCTGAACCAGGTTTGACCCTCAAAATAACATTTTAAAGTGAGCATATTACTGAATGAACAAAGGTGTAGAATTTGAAAGTCTCATTCACTCTTGAGCACTGAAAAAAATGCCTTCTGTGAAATCTTTATTTTTGTGTTACAGAGCTCTAGCTTCTGTGAGATTCTACCTGAGGATTAGCTCTCTTTAAATAGAGGCATTTTCTATTTTACTAATAAGACCACCTTCTCCTAAGTGCTCCCTATGTGCTGGGGAGGGCTGGGGTGGTGCGCCACCCGGTCTGATCATTTCCTGACAACACAGGCTGGGCAGGCAGAGGGGAGTGTGGGGACACTGCTAAGCACTGTGTCCAGGCTGCTCTAAGTGGGATCCTAATTGCTTGGTGGATGAATTGTACTCAGGTAATTACCAAGCCTAATGTAGCTCCTGTCACGTTTGAGTGTATTAATGTGAAGGGGAGAAGCAAACCAGCCTGAAGGGAGTTGCTTCCCACATTGCTGCTGCTTGGGAAACAGCAGTGATTTTTCATCAGGACATGAAACCGCCCAGGGACGCCCACTCACCAGTGGTCGCCTTCCCATGAGGGCAGCTGCCAGCTTCTAAGTCAGATTTTACACCAAACAGAGCTGGGAGAATGTCATCACCCTGCCAGATGACTCTGGTCTTTCATGGTGTTTCTTTATCAGTAAAACCATCTCAAAGGTTTCTTTCAGCTGTGTGGTCAATTAATGGTGGAGAAACATTTGGCCTTTTACTAAGGAATAGATTTACGCTCTGAATCCAGTACTTACTGGGGATAAGTCCTACCCTGATCATCTGATAACAAGGAAGCACTTATGGTGACGTTTATGATTTACTAGTTGACTAGCATCATTCTACTGCGCACTTTTTATACATTATCGTTTTTAGTCCCCGCGACAACCCACAATGCTTGGAATAATTCACAGAATTAACTAGGGCGGAGCCAGCACTTGAACGCGGGCACTTTGCATCAAAAGCCCATATTTTTATTTTTGTTTTCTAAGCTTCAAGTGGGCAAAACTAGCTGACTTGACCAAGGCAAGTGGACAGTAAGATGTCTTAGAATTTTAACCCTGTTGTGTTTGCCTGCAGTACTACTTGCTTCCTTTTCTTGCGACATTCCCAAATTTAAGGAATGTGTCAATAAGCTGCTGGGAAGAAATTCTCCAAGACAGTAGCTGCTGTCACTGAAGCACTGGGACAGATGCCACAAAGGCAAGCCCTGAATTCAGGCGGAGCAGGGTCACAAGGTGGCCATCCAGCTGACCCCAAGTCTTCTTCTGAGATTATTTACTATCAAAGCAAACATGTATCTGAAAATTAAAAACATGTTACTCATCGAGACTTGGGAATATCTAAATCCAGGCAGCACCCCTCAGGCTGGCTGCATGTCATGCTGCCTTCTTGCTGCCCCCCAGCCGAGGAATGCGCGAATGAGCCCTTCCTTTCCGTGTGGGCCACCCGTCCTGGCCAATGAGAGGCCCCACATTTACGACACGGCCAGAAGACTCACCCTTCTGCCCACATTCGTCTTTACAGAGCGCAGCTGCCTTACAACTTCCTCCCGACAAAGAGAGTTTCTGCTTGGAGTACCTGCTCCTGCCACACTCCTCTGCTCTAGATGTCTTGGCAGCTGACTGATTACCACACGGGGGGCCCACTCAGGAGAGCAGCTGGAGAGCGCGACGAGTGCCGTCTCCCTTGCCTGCGTTCTGTGGCAGCGCATCCTCTATGATCACAAGTATGGGTTTGCCTTCTCAACTGGAAGGCCCCCTTGCTATGAGCTCCCTGCGGCAACTTATTAGCCATCAAAAGGGGAAACTGTGGAGTGGGAGCTGAGGTTAAGAGCACGTGCCTTGTGCCCCCTGTGGCCTTGGATAAAGTACTTAGCTGCTCTGAGCCTCAGGTTTCCTCATCTGTGAACTGGATCCATCTAGAGTGATCACTACTTAACATTGTGAAAAGTAAATGAAATAATGTTTGTAATTATCAAAAATGATATGGTAGGACCAGGGAGATAGCGCAGTAGAATAAGCACTTGCCTGGCAATTGCAGGGTCCTGAGTTTAATCCCTGGTACCACAAAAAAAAAAAAAAAAAAAAGGTATGGTACCAGTAATGCATCTTAATTCCTCAATAAACTTAGCTGTGTAACGTATCTCCTAATTATCATTCTTTTACTCATGTTCAAATTTTTCCAGATCAAACATCTACCTCAGGAATATTTGTACTCCTCAAAAGTTGTTACCCGCTGCTGCTCGGGGCAAAACCAGTGCATGGTGTCTGCCTGGGTTCCTGGCCAGGCCTTGGCACTTCCCATGGTATTTAGAGTCCTCAGGCTTCCAGAGTCTCCCCTGTCTCTTCTGTGTAACCTAGTCATTTCAGCTCCTTGCCCTAGGCTATAGAACTACAGCCAAAAGAAGCTAGGGGATGGAACAGTTGATTGATGCTACTGTAGTCTGCAGACTTTCAAAGAGAGCTTGTGATTCAATGAAGGCCTCCTGTACTTTGGGGCCTTCTAGGTCTTGCATGAGCAGAAAATGAATGAAGAACATGTTTCTCAGTAGTCAAGAGTTGTGTGAATGTCATCATGACCGTCACTGCTATGTACTCACGCTTAGCTAAATGAGGTCTCAAGGGGAAGATGTAGACAAGAGAAGTTTAGCTTTGCCATGCATTGAGCTTTGGCTGTGTCAGACTCTGTGCTAATGTTCTCCTGCATTGCTGTTTAATCCATACAGGAATATGGTAAGTAGGTGCTGCTGCCTTCAGTGACAGAGGAAGAGAGAGAGGACTAGAGAACTGAAGTGACTTGCCACCTATCACAAAGCCAGTAGCTGGTGCAGCTTCGGTTGGGAGTTAGGTCTGCCATACTCCAGTCCTGGTCTTGGTCACCCTGTAGAATAATACAACCCTCTAGCTCATAAGAGAAGATAAAGGAGACCCACAGAAGTTTAAAGGTTGCATTTTCTGCTGGCATTAAATATCCCACTGCTCTGAGAATTATATTTCTCATCATCTTTACAGCTACCTTCTGGGCCAAGGTGCCGTCTTCTGTCTTCTGAGTTATGGCTGTAAATTCTTCAAGGAACTCACTGTCACCTTTCTGTCTTCTCTAGTCTTGTGCCACATGCAGTTTTTCAGTTAATGATGGGTCCCATATGTGCAATCTTTCTATCACACACTTACACTTAGGTGTGCAGTAGGCAGTACGCTCTAGATACGCCCTGACGTCCATCACCTATAATGTGTTTCTTGACATGTAGTTTTACATTAAGGAATGGGCAGCTGTGCTTTCAAGAGCACCAGAAGCAGCCTGCCGAAAGGTCCCTTGGATTCCTCACATACAGTAAGAGCCCAAGCTTTATTGGAGTCGCCAAGGCGGCCTCATCCCTGCTCTGGCCCTGGTACCTTGTTGACCTTAACTCCTTGCACTCCTTCTGACCCAGGACACCTCACCGCTCAAAAGATACCAGGCAGGATCTAGCCTCAGGACTTGGCACTTGCCATTTCCTTACCTGGCATGTCTTCGGCTTAGGCATCTGCTTGTTCCTCTGTCACTGTATACCAGAAGGTTCTGGCAGAGATGGAAACCACACATTAGTTAAACAATATTTTAATATAAAAGATGTCAATGTAGCATATGCTTGTTAACTACTGGAAGAGCAGTTAACAACGCTTTAAGGTGTTGTGGAGGTAGCAACAGCAAAGAGCAGCTACTCTCTCCAGGGCTTGGGAAATGGCCATCTGCATGACATAGGAACTTAGCTCAGCACCCCACTGCAGAGTCTTAGCCTCTGAGAGGCTGTCCTTAGGCTGGTCTGTGAAGGCCAGAGCCTGCTGTGGGGCAGCTGCTGGGCCTGGAAGCCTCTCCTGTGCTTTAGCGGAGATGCTCACAGCAACCTTAGCAAGAGCCAGCTCTGAGGTGGGGTGGGGAAGCTTTGCTTTCTTCCAGCTGTCAGGCTCCTTCCAATGACCCCTACTCCAGGAGGTTGACAAGCAGCCAGTGGGTTTGCAGAACAGCAAAGCCCAGCACAGAGGGTCTGAGACTCAGTGGCTGCTGCACTAACTTCCAAGGGTCTTGCATCTGCCTGGGAACATTCCTGCCTCCCCTCACTAAGAGCACATGCCCTGACCTATGCTCTCCCCTTTCCTGTTCTTACTCCTCCGCCCCAGTGTGCATCTAGCTGGCTGGCAGAAGCTGAGGCTCTGGTTCTCTATGTCTTCTCTCTCCTCTGTCTTAGCCATAGCCACAGTGGCAGTTGTGTGAGAGCTCAGACTCATGACAGTCCCTATGTCTTTATTCCTCAGCTAATACCTGGTTCTCTCCAGTTAAGAAAACTACTCATTTTTGATTAGGGTTTCTTGATTTCAGCACTATTCATATTTGGGGTCCTATGTTTTTTTTTGTGGGAGACTATGCTGTGTAGTGTGCAGTATTTAGCAGTGTCTCTGGTCTCTACCCCATAAAAGCCAACAACACTGCCCTGTCAGACACAGCCAGGAATGGCTTTTGGAGAACAAGATGCTCACTGTTCTGGTCTTATACACAATCCTTGGCTGTGTGAGAACCAGTTAGTACATGGTGTTGGCAACAGATGGAGAGGGTCTGATAGTGTACATTTGTACATCACTGACATCTCATCTCCTTGGGCAAGTTACTAACCTTGACCAGGCATGATTTTTCCCAGATGTAAACAAATGAAAACAATGTAATCTCATGGGGCTATTGTCAGCATTAAATCCCTAGTCAGATCAGCACCAACCAACTGATCAATACAAATCTGTAATAATTATTGTAATTGAAAGCAAACTTTAAGGTGAGCCATGACAAGCCACTAATACATTGCTTTGTCAACATGTGATGGCACATAACTGGCTGGTGAATTTTGCTTGTATCTCTGGGCCTGACACTGGCCTCAAGAGTGAGTGGTGATCATCCCCTTAAATGTTATAGAAATTCCTTACAGATGACTTCTGGATACTGATACATGTGTGACTGCTGATGAGACATGACTGCAGCTAGGGATCTAAAGAGAATTAATGTGTTGAGTGCAGCTGTGTGGCACTGCGGAATCGTGAGAAGTGCTTCTCCACTAGTCAGTATCACTATGACGCTTACAGTCAACTTGTTGCTTCATTCACCTAATTGATTTACTCTTGCAAATGGCACCACACAAAACTGAAATGATAAACATGGTTACATCATATTTCAGATTCTGAGTGTTTTCCTCTCAGACAGCACTTTCACGGTGCTGAACGCCAGCACTGGTAGAAGGGACCTAGCTCATCCCATGCAGCTTGAGTTTCTCTCGGATGAGTGCGGCAGAGCCCCAGGTGTGGGTGGGACAAAAGAAATCTGGGTCCTTGTCCCAGTTCTGTCACTCAAGCTCTGTGTAACCCTAGACACATTCCCTTCAGGACTCAGTTTCCTCACCTTTATCTTGTGTAATCTGGGTGACCTTTCCTCTTTGTGAAATCCCAACTGATCCGGCATCCCCGACACCATGCCCTCAGAAGGAAGGTGAGAGAAGAGGGAGTGGCACTTGGTTCCTGCAGAATTTTACTGCCTTCTTTCCTTCCCTCCTAGGTACACAGTTCTGCACAGTGGGCACCACCAGGAGCTTGAGAAACTGCCCATACACCATGACCCAGAGTCCCTGGAGTCATGCTTCTGATCGAGGACGTGGCTTGGGACCTCAACCATTCATTTCCATTCATGTTTGCATGAACAGGACACCCTGGCATCACTCCTGGCACCACCACCAGTGAGGCACAAGGCACCTGGGCCCCAGGGCCTAGCGAAGGTACTTGGAGGATAGAGCTGGGCTGGACCTGAGGTCAGAGCATCAAGGATCTCACAGTCACGAAGGGATTTCGGGCAGATCCAGCCTACCACCCAAAGCAGGAGCAGCACCTTTCATCGCATCCCTGAAAGCTGGTCAATCTCTGCTTGCATACCTGAAAGCTAGGAGGTCAGTGCCTTCAAATGCACACCCTTCTGTCATCGGAAAGTTCTAATCATAAGGCAGTTTTATCCTTTGCTGGAACATAAGTCTGCTTCAGCTTCCATCTGGGGCCAAGCATTGGGCTCCCTTCCCCGGAGAACCCGCAAGTATCCCAAGACTGTGATCTGCCACCCAACGCCCCCACCACCTCCTTCTCTCTTAACTCAGCCTCCCATTTCTTCTCGGTTCTTGCCCATCGTGATGTGAGCGTGCTCTCTTATGGAATTAAGATGATGTCAATGCCAAGAAGAAGTGAGGGACTGAAAAGGAAAACGTGGAGATTCGTGGTTTATAGCCATGAACACTTGTCTTCTCTTTCTTCAGACTGGGGACTCTGCCTAGGTTTTAGCTTTACATTAATTGCCAAAAAACATCTTTAGAATTGTGCAGAGGGTCATTTGGAATATTGATTCACTTCCCTCCAGTGACCATGCAGAAATGATGCTTTCCTGAGAATGTTGATCGAGAATGATTTTACAGTGAGGGGAATGGGCTGGAAGCTGAGTCGCTGTTGGGAGTGCCTGCTGGGGCTGTTCTGAGCTTGGACTGAGCAGCACTTGTGAGTGGCAGGACAGTTTTCTGCTCTGGGCAATGATATCAACCCCATTAACTTCCGCTGGGGGAGCTGCCCTTGGCCTTTCCTGCGCAGCTCCACTTCATAGCACCTCATTCCCTCTGAGCTCCTAGGAAGATGCATCCCCTTCAGTAGCAGAGTTGTTTATTATCCCCCAAGTTTATTTTGTATACATTGTGCCTCCAAGCTGAGACTCTGGGGGCATTCTTTTAATGACAAAAGCCCAGTTGAACAAATGGCTTGCTGGTCCGTGGAACAAAATGGAGGCAGCAAAAAGATAAGTGGGGCTTGGGTGCACACAGCACAAGATAAAGAGGCGCCCAAGTTGGTGCCACTGGCTGTCCTTGCCCTTTTGCTTAGTCTGTTGCTCCTTCCTCCCCAGTGATCTCACAAGTCACAGTTGCCTCCTTACTCTCCACTCCATCCATGAGGTCAGGATTCAACTCACAGGCCATCGTGCTGACTTTGGTCCTCAGACGTGGTGTGGGTGCAGGGATGGTCAGGCTGCATGGAAGACAGGGGACCCAGTGTCTGGTGTTAGTGCTGAAAGTCCCACATCCCAGGCCATCCTCTGTGCAGGCACACTGCAGGGGCTTGTCCCCATACTGTAGAACCCTCCCTGTTTTGAAGGCTATCACCTATTGGGGTTCACTCCTCTTCACTTTTTCATGTGGAAGGTGGAGGGTAAAGACCTTGGAGGTCCAGTGTTCTCTGTATGCTGTCTGGGTGCAGTCTCTGCGCTCCTCCAAACCTTCAGCACTTCTTAGGGCAGGACTAAGGCAGAGAAAGAAGCCTGATGGCAGTCAGCAGAGGTGTGCTCAGTGCTCTGAAGTAGCTGGAAAAGTATTCAGTGTCCCACACTGAGAGGCTCTCCCTTGTATCCAGGTGTGCACACAAGCTCATAGAGAGTAGGATTTCATCTTATGAAATGCTTCTCTTCCCCAGGGCTTAGCAATCAAGCATGCTTATATGACCTTTTATTTCTCTGTGACAAATCTCCTTTATACTGAATGACAACTTGGATTCAGTAGAGATCCAAAGATTAAGACATAGGTGGCAAAAGGAAGTCTTACCTCATCTCAGGACTCTTCCTAACTTGGTGGACATGCTCCTGGGAACTGGACCACGATCAGTGTCTGTAGAGGTCACAGACATATTGGACTAGAAAAGGACAGCACCTGAAGAAACGGCAACATTCTTCCTTGCGCAGTGATTTCTTTTGCAGAAGAGAGCTGCATAAGCATATTTTGCTGTCTCTTTGTAGTAGGGCTCGGATGACATTGTGATATATCATATATCCTCAGTGAAGACTCACAGGACAGGATCAGATTTGTGCCATCTGTGCAGCTGCTAGCCTGGCAATAGCTACAGTTCTGTCTTCCCAAAATCCAACTTGTGTATGGAAGACTCAGAAGGAAAATCTTCAATGGCAGGCTAGCCCTATCAGGAAGAATTGTTCCTGTGGCAGAGGCAGCTGTGGGCCCAGCATCACCTGCCGATTGCCCCAGCAGTCAGTGGGGTGATGGATGCCACAGTCAGCCTGCCTCCATACCTGCTAGAGGGGGATTCACTCTGCTTCTTCACCCCATCCAGCCCAAACAGCTGTCCAGCCCTGAAAGTTCCATTCCAATCCTCACCATTTGTGGCCAGGAAGCAAAAGAAATAGATCCACTCCTTCCATGGACACCCAAGAAGGTGTTTGTAAAACACCTTCTTTCTAGGATTTGGCCAACTCACCAACATCTCCACTTCATGCTGCTAACTTGCTGTCCTGAGGCAAATTGCCATCTGGCTGGGGAGTGGGGTGGGCACAAGGGTGGGTGAGGGAGGGCACCTAGGCAAGGACCAGGGAGTGGGAAACTACATTGCTTTTAATATTGTCTTCAAATGAGAACAAAATAATAATGTCTTCTTGGTGCTGTGTTGTCTCGGCATTTATCTATTTGGTCCTGTAGTTCTCTTTGGTGCAAGAGCTGAGTTGCTTTTCCCTTTTTCTCTATTACTTGCCTTGGCTGTGGTAGAAATCTTCCTAGTAGCACCACATCTAGAGGAGGAAAACAAAGTCTAATGGAGTTAACTCTCTCCACCAAAATTCATGGTCTCTTCTGCCACTGAGGCAACGTTTTCGGCTTGAATTGAAACAATACTGGGACAGATTTGAGGGTCTGGGTGTGATGAGACAGAATGCCTTGTTGGGCCTCATCCAGCAGCTGCCTCCATTGTCTCGCCTATAGAACAGGGACATCACTGAGAGGGCAGAATCGGTCACTGTGAGTGTCCCAACATGGATCACCATCGGCCTCCATTAGTTTTGTCAAATATGCCTCCTGCCTATGGTATCAGTTATTTGATGTCTTTATTTAAATTAGTTTGAGTTTTCACTTGACACAAATTTATTTTAAAAGGAAAGATTACATTAGTGTCCAAAATAGAAAATCAATTTTACTTACCCCGAATAGAAAGCAGCCATAGACATAAACAAAAAGAAAATAAAACTCTCAAGTTCCCCACTGAGAGCTTAGATCCTTTTCTGGGCTCTGTGGAATGTCAGGAATTGTTAGAGGCACCTGCCACTCCTGCAGGACTCTGCCATGAGATAGAAGTGGAAGGAAATGTATAGAAGAAATAAGCTTCCGGAACTTTAGAAATCCAGGGGATTTAAATACAAGAAGCATTTCACACTTTTGGAAACAGAGAAGGAAAGTGAAACTCTTAAATTCTGATCATCAACCTGATTGTACAACTTCTCTTTGCTTGTTCTTTCAGCTCTTTCCAGAATGTAACTTAGTTAATAATTATAAAGGAAGTCAACAAATTACTGAGCTTCTTTTTCCTAGGTACTGTGGTTAAGTGATTTGCATGGATTAACTCACATAATTCCATAAGTCTTATAAAATTCTGTACTGTAAAAAGAAAAATTAAAAAAAAATTATGACTATAAGATGGGTACCAAGATGACCCCCTCTTTACAGATGACCAAACTGCTCAGCTGAGACATTGGAGAATGGCCCAGGGTGAGAGATCTGCAAAGTGTGGGTTTGGAATGCAAAGCTGGCTCTCTGAGTCTGAAGACTCAGTCCTGCAAGTGCCCATTGGCGTTCATTTCTGGGGTTGGTGGGCTTACATGTCACGTGCAGCCTTTCCTCTTCTTGCCCTGGTACTGAGCAAGTGTTTTCCCTTCTTCGGTTTGGGAGCTGAAGAACCCACACAGGGCTATTCCCCATCTACCACCCCCTTGCTCTGTTGCTTTCTTTTCTGAGCCTCAACCTCCATATTTACATAATGAAAGCATCCAGGCTGAAGACTGACCAGCAGGGCAGGGCAGGTGCTCAGCACTGACACTGCCCAGTCTCTCTAGTGTTCTGCTGCCTGGGTTACTGAGCAACCAGCCACAGACTGCAAGAACCAGAGCCAAGAGCTGCTCCCGCCCTGCGCATCCCGTGTGGAATGCACAGGAAGCGTGGACTTCTCGGTGTTTCTTGGGGAGAGCACCGTGTGGTCGATTTCAACACTCCCAGGGAGCATGGAACCACGGTAGGAACCTCAGTTTCTCTACACTTTCACAAGATCTCTGCGCCCCTCACAACAGCTAGTGGGGAGGGATTGCTGATTTCATTCAACAGAAGAAAAACACACTGGGCAGGCCAAATAGCTCAGCAGATTAAAGCACCTGCAAGCAGGTTCAGGGGCC